CGTTGTTAGCTTGCCTCCAGGGGTGACTGAGGTAAAGGAGGTGTTTGCTACTGTGGGGTCTCAAGGTTGTGCAGTAGAACCTACTCTACAGGAAGCGATAGAGTCTGTTGATTTATCTGCTCTCAGGTTGGAAGAACAAGGTCAGGTCAGGGCTCTGTTACAAAAATATCAGTCTGTGTTTTCTGCTCATGAAAATGATTTGGGGTATAACAACCTGATTTCTCATGCCATTCCCCTTATAGATGATGTCCCAGTCCGGCAGCGATATAGGCGCCTGCCCCCATCGGAGTATGATGTGGTGAAGACTCATATCAACCAGCTGCTTGAGGCCTAGATTATCCGGGAGAGTTGCAGTCCCTATGCCTCTCCCATCGTCTTAGTCAAAAAGAAGGACGGATGTACGCATGTGCGTAGACTACCGTCAGTTGAATTCAAAAACAAGGAAGGATGCGTTCCCGCTGCCTCGTATCGAGGAAACCTTGGACACCTTGACAGGGGCCCGCTGGTTCTCCACTATGGATTTGGCCAGTGGGTACAACCAAGTTCCAGTCACTGAGGGAGATGAGGCCAAGACTGCATTCTGTACCCCATTTGGGCTATTTGAATGGAATAGAAAGCCCTTTGGGCTTTGTAATGCCCCCAGCACTTTCCAGCATCTGATGGAAAGATTGTTTGGTGACCAGCGGCATCAGTCGTTACTTTTGTATCTGGATGACATTGTGGTATTCTCCTCCTCAGTGACTCAACATCTGGAATGGTTGGAGGTGGTCTTGAGTCGACTCCAGCGCAAGGGCCTCAAGGCGAAGTTGGGGAAATGTGCGTTTTTCAAAGAGCAGGTAAGATACTTTGGTCAGGTGGTCTCTTCCCAGGGGGTGGCCACGGATCCAAGTAAAGTTGAGGCGGTAGCAAAGTGGAGCCACCCAGGTAATGTTTCAGAGCTCCGTTCCTTCTTGGGCTTTGCCAGTTACTACCGCCACTTTGTGGAGGGGTTTGCCAAATTGGCAGCCCCTCTACATAAGCTGGTGGCAGAGTTTGTTGGGGGCAGGGACTGAGCATTGTCATATGTTTCGACACTTTAAAACAGAAGCTCACGACTGTGCCCATCCTCGCATATGCCGATTTCTCATTGCCGTTCATTCTTGAAGTCGATGCGAGTAGAAAGGGGCTGGGGGCAGTGCTTTCTCAAGAGCAGGAGGGGAAGTTCCGACCTGTGGCCTACGCCAGCCGTAGTTTGCAGCCCACTGAGCGCAACATGGTAAATTATAGCTCCATGAAATTGGAGTTTCTTGCGCTCAAGTGGGCAATGACAGAAAAATTCAGGGAGTATTTGAGTCGTTGTTTCATTAATTTCATTAATTCCTTCCTTGCATTAATTCTTTTGTGCCGTTGTCTTGAATTGTGGGTTTCATTTTTTGATGATTGTACAGTAATTCAATTTGAGTTAATTTCCCTTCTTCTTTATTGATTTTCTTGCATTCTAGTATTCGGTATCCATTCATTTGCAGTACTTTCCCTTATTTTCCTTTTGTTTCTTACATTAGTAGCCTAGTTTTGCTTTCTTTCTGTTATTCACTATTTGTGTTTCGTGTACTTGAGTTTATTTTGTGGGGTCGTACAACTTTTCTTTTGAAGTAACTTTGTAAGTTACTTTATTATTTTTCTTATAACCCTGTTGTTTCTCATACTGTGTAACATAACTCTGTTTTCTGTGCAGGAGCTGAGTGCCTAAGGTAGGGGTGGATTTCTGGTGGCGGTCCAATCGTCACGAGTGTTGTGTGAATCGTGGGGGAGTGGAGTGTGTTTTCTGTGTGAGTGTGGGTGCACAGGTATAAGGGGAGGTGACTTGCTGTGGAGGCTGTATTATGCCAACTTAGCTTTATTCCCCGCTGGTAAGCCTCGGCTCCTACACCAGGACACTCATATGTTGATGACCCTGGTTATATTTTCGTACTGTATCTAAATAATTTGTGTTTTTGTCTTGTTACAACAAGGGCATTTTGGTCTTTATATTTTCAACTTTATCTTCAATAACATTTTTACCTTTTTATATCTACGTCTACGTCTACGCCTACTTCTAGTGCACTAACCTGTGTGTCTTTAGAAAGTACTTTATTTGGTATTGGTCCCTGGGCCACACCCAGGGTGGCGTAGTCACTTGGTATTAATTATTAATCTCTCAGTGCTCTGCCACACAATGTTATGCAGTGTTAGAGTGATTCAAATGTTCATAGTGTTCCAGTAATACATGTATAACGTTCTACTTCTCTAATAATTAAATGAGTATTAATAAATTAATTTGTACTACAGAGGTGGCACAGAATAACACAAAAGTGGCTTGTAGGTACATTTTCAGATGTTTAATGAGGCTCAGAGGTAGCATGAGTGCAATTAAATTCATGTGTTAAATAAAATTAATGTTTTAAACATAAAATTTTGAATACAGAAATATTATTTAAATAACTGAAATTATAGGCTAAAAATTAAACTAAATCCACCAGCAGGTGGCGGCAAGTCACTGATTTTATCACTGAATCATTCATTCAATTGATTCGTTCGAACGGCTGAATCATTCAGGAATGAAGCAAGTCATTATGAACTAAGGGAAATCCGTCGTAGCGACGGAACTTAAATCCTTTTGGTGGTATTTCAAGTTTTATGTTTATTTGGTTTAGCCATTAGCAAGGGTTGAGTTTGCATTATGCATTGTTATTCAATGTTATGCAGTGTCAGAGTGATTCAAATGTTCATAGTGTTCCAGTAATACATGTAGGACGTTCTACACTGATTTAAGTAGTTCTGTTATAGCATTTCACTGATCTTTAATTTATTATAATTATTTTGGTCAAGATTTTATATATGCTGCTGTGCTTTTTAAATGTCCTCAAGGAATTTATTTTTGTTATGTACACACGATTCATTGTTGTAAAGTACATTAAAGTTTTCTAGATTTGAAAGTGTATGTGTGTGTCATGTTGATTTAATGATTTTTGTGCATTTTAATAAACCATATTTGAGTGCTGAAAATAGCTTTATAGCAAACTAATAGAACAAACAAATAGTGTACTGGTAATGCATTTCTAATGAGCTGAAATGCTATTGAAAATGTTTTTGAAGCACATTAAAGTGAAACTTAAAATATAATCTAACTTTACTTCAAGGAGTATAAAAGTATATTTTAAATAATGTAAAGAAGTACATTTAAATTACACTAAAGATACTTGAAGTTGTTCCATTTTAACACAACTAAATATGTTAAAATATATTGCAATTAGCTTAAAGTTGATCTTAGCATTTCTTAAAGAGCACTTTTAACATACTTAAAGTTGTTCCAAAATAACACATTTATTATGCACTTAGTATAGTATAATAAAAATATAATAAGTGCATCGATATTAGTACATCTAAAGTGTACTTCTTTTGTACCTGGGCTGTCAATGGTTTAATTGTTGTGACTGATCAGTATATAATAAAGTACATATATATATATAAAGAGTTTTTAAAAATTGTTGTAAATATTATTTAATGGACCTGAGCTAACATGAACTACCAATGAGCAGCTGTATGTTTATTAACTATTGATAACTAATGTACCTTATTGTAAAGCATTACCAATAATTAAATAAAACTGAAAATGTACATATTCTCAAGATGTGATACAGGCCTGTGTGAGAGATTTTTAAACAACACTTGAGACATGAAAAATCCAGATGCCCAAGTTATACATAATAGAACAAAACATACTTTAGCATGTTATCAAGTTGGAATGTTGACTATGAGGAAATACACCAGGGTTCCTGTAATCCCTTGCAATTTCTAGATTTTAAAGGGCCATTTATTTGTTAGCATAGATAAAAATTCATCCATGAAGTACATGATGATGATGATCACTGTTTATACTTATGTATTAGCTCTATTTTTATGTTGAAATCTCTTTTTATCTCCTGAAAATATTTTGTGTCTAGCTTGTCATACAATACATACAAACATAGTGGTAAATGCTTAGGTTTTTTATTTTATTTTAGCTTTATTTTTAATGGTACTGCTACTTTTTTTTTTTTTACAAAAGCAAACCATCAAGCTAGGTGAGGCATTTCATGTCTTATGATCAATATCATGTGATTTGTCAGGTACAAATAAATAACTGTATACTTAAGAAAAGAGACATCTAATCTAAAACATTTGTCCTTCATTAAAAAAAAAAAAAAGATATCCATCAATGCTAGATTATACATACATTACTGGACAAATCATCCTTATCTGTACTTAGTAAAGTCTAGTGAAATTTATTAAAAATAAATAATATAGCTAATATTAAGCAGACCGACAGAACCCTTTCTTTTTATGACTATGAACAGCTCATTTTTAATGGAGCTCTGCACATAGAGGGCCTGATCAACTTACTACAAATTCAGTAATAGTGTGATTTACAAGAGATGCGAAAGTTGCTTACATTGTTCTAAATAAACATAGTGTTCTAATATAAAAACTAGTGATGTGTTATCCTGGATTTTCTTAGAATTTCCTGTATAACCCTTTTTCCTATCCTTGTTGTTTTGTATATTTTTTATTTGTTAAAAAAAAGTTCACACTCTTTGGCAAAATAAGCAAAGTTATATATATATATCATTCTAATCATTCTTTGCATTTGGACCAAAACTTGTTTTGCATTCCAAAACATTCTATTTGAGGTGTGTCATAATTGAGACAGAAAGACAATCATACCTTGTCCAATAGAAGAGGTTTGACTAGGAGGAGAATATAAATGCAGGAAGGATTAGTAAGCAAACCAGACTGCTCAAATATCAACCACATCAAGTATAACTGTAGGTAATAACTTTATATTTCTAAAATTCCAGTGATTATCTTTTATCATCGAAATGTTCTTAGGTATATACGAAAACACTAATCACCATTCTGTCAATATGTAATGTAGTTAGATGTTGGAAACTGCTACCTAGTGATATAAAGTGATGTAAAGCAAATTGTACAGTGATAACAAGATGCAGATCCAACTTACAATGGCATACAGTTGGGAGATAGCTCTTGCCCTGGCTGCTGGGGACGGCAGTGGGACTGAATATTCCACTGCACATACGGGTCGCATCACTGGTATCAGAATCTGGGAATACAGTAGTGCATACATTGGTGGGTAAGTAAAGCAATGCAGCACTGATCACCTATCCAGACGAAAAGAGTGCCAAACTAATTAAGATGTGTTTTATTGTGACTTAATGTAAAATTAAGTAATTTGCATTGTGTGTATCTATTTGAACACTGACGACACATATCTGTTTAGAATCCAGCTGAGTTATGATGGTAACTGGACAACACTTGTTTGTGCAAACTATGGCACTCAGATGGAGATGACACTTCTTGACAACGAATCCATCGTTCAGGTGTCTGGAAAGTACGACTATGGCTACATCTATGAGCTTATGTTTGTCACTAGTCAAGGCCGATCTTTTAAAGTGGGACAACCTTCTGGAATCTCATTTAACTTCTACCCGACCCATGATGGAAGTGAGCTACGCTTTCTCAGTGGTCGACAGAATGGATGGGGAATCACCTCCATTGGGGCTCACTGGGCTGTCTACCACAGCAGTGACAACAGTGTAACACCTTAAGATCATAATTAGTTCAGTTCAGTGCCCTTTACCTTCTTCTTGCCAGCATTAAATAAACATCTACAGAAACTTTTTATTTTTATCTGTGTTTATCTGAGTTTTATCCTTTCTCATTTTTATAGACATGATTCTCATGATTGTTACTTGAATAAAGTCGATGTTGTTTTGTTAATCTTAGCCTGTGTTAGGTGGGTCTTCTAAAATACACTCATTTTCAGCTGCAGCTGGATTTACAACATTTTCAGCTGCATAACCGTTGTCTTTTTTTTTTTCTTTTTTTTTTTTAGCATTTTCTTTATTATGTGAATTGCTTTGTCTTGTTTATATTTCTTCAACAACTGACATTCACATATATTATCTTTTATTTTTGTTATATGAAGATCACATTAAAAACATGGAAACATTTTACCTTGCATTTATTGTTTATTTCTCCTACTTCTCCTACATATTTCTTCAAATGCCTTATATGTATTAGGGATGTGCATCTCATGACTCAGATACGCATC